TAGATGCCCCAGCTTGTGTCAGCTTCTAATTATGTGACAGATTGACTTCCATCCTTTGATTCTCACTCTATGGGTGTCTTTACTCCTGATGTTTTTCTTCAGAACCAGCTCTGTCTAGTTTTGTTTCTAAGTCCAGTGAGCCTGTCTGTGTCTCCTTGTTGCTGATTGAAGAGCATTTATAATTAAGGCTATTACTGAGATATGTACTAATTCCTATTATTTTGATGATTACATTTCTGGTTGCCTGGATTATTGTTTTCTCTCTACTTTCTCATGCATTAGTGTTAGGGTTTTGCTGATTTACTGTGTTGGATGTGATAGAGTCTTACCTAGCTCACCGTTTTTGTTTGTTTGTTTGTTTGTTTGTTTATCTCTCTCATGAAACTAATTCTTTCTCTGTGTTTAATATTTCTTTTGGTATCTTTTGAAGCACTACCCTGGTTGTCATAAACAGCCTTGGCTTGTGATTGTCTTGGTGTCCTTATTTTTCCATCAATTTTGAATGAGAAATTTGCTGAATATAACATTCTTAGTTGTTAGTTGCTTTCAGTACTTGGAATATGTCATCTCCTGCTTTTTCCGTTTGGGCATGTCTGACAAGAGAGCTGATGTTATTCTGCTACTTCTGCTTTTGTTGGAGAGTTATCCTTTCCCCTCATGTAGCTTTTAATACTGTTTATTTGCTTTCTACGTTTTAGGAGATTTTATTTTATTTTTATTTAATTTTGAGAATTCCAAACATGAATACTGTATTTGCATCCTTTCCATTTTTCTCCCCTTCTTACCCCTCCCATGTTCCCCTACTCCCTCTCTAATTATTGACATCCTTTTAAATTATTATTGCTAAATATATATAATCTAAATCCATCCTGTCCTATTTACCATCTATCCATCCATCTCTTTATCTGTCTCTATCTATCTATCTATCTATCTATCTATCTATCTATCTATCTATCTATCTACCCTCAGGTACTGCTGAGTCTATTTAGCACTGCTCATATGTGCATGTGTTTCTGGTTGATCACTAAGGATTGGCTAACACATTAGGAAGCTCATCCCTGGAGAACACTGATTCTCCTTTTCTCAGCAATCATTCATTTTCTATAGCTCTTCATCTAGGGGTGAGAGCTTGTGAGCTTCCAGCCATCTAAGCTGGCATGCCCGCTGGTGATGTCATAATGCAAGTCTGGTGTATGTGACTTTATTGCTAAGGCTTCATGGGTGCAGCTTCCCTGTCATGTGTAGAAGACATTATCTCATCCCCTGGCTCTTACAATTTTAAAATTTCCTTCATCTGCCTTAGGTATAGGGGTTGTGCATTTTAGATGTATCATTTTGGGATGGGCACTCACAGCCAGCTATTCTCTAAATTTTGACCAATTGTAAGTTACTGTACTAGTTTCCCTCCATCTGCTGCAAAAAGAAAAGCTTCATTAATGTTGGGTGAGAGTTACAAGCACACACACACACACACACACACACACGCACGCACGCACGCGTGCACATAAGTCTTTAGAATACAGTTATAAATTATACTGGTTTAAGAAATTTGTAGTAGTAAGTTCTCCTCCATGGTCCATAACCTCACTAACCATGGGTAATTAGAAGTTTACAATGCCAGGCATAAATTCTCTCCTGTGGATCAAACCGTTAGTCCAATTAAATAGTCGCTGATTATTCCTAAAATATAAATGGCACTACAGCACCACTAGGGACATCTTGACATTTGGTCAATGTTGTGGTTCCTGGACTTCACAGCTGTGTAGGGAATATTGACTGGTTTTCTCCCTTGGCAGCTTGCATAGCATCTTTGGGTAAATGGAGAGGTAGCCTTCAGAAAGGGGCTTCCAGGTTAGTTTCAGATCAATTCCATGGATTCATAGACTTGGTATTTTGATTATGTCCTGGATTTCTGGATTATTGTGCTCATTTTGATCTCTTTTTCTCCTCACTGGTGCTTGAGTGTAGTATTGCTTTATCCCTGATATTTTTTCTTCAGCTTGATGGAGTCTATCCATGCTGCTTTCTACTGTGTTTTTTATTTGGTTGCTTGAGCTTTTTATTTTTAATATTTCTATTTTTTTCATCTAAAATATCAATTTCCTTGCTGACTTTTTCAAATAGGTTGCTGATTTTCTCATCCATTGTGATGAATTTGTCCTCTGTGTTGCTGACTTTCCTCTCTAGTCTTCCTCTTCTTTATTCTTTCTTTCCCTTACGAAGAACATTAGCAAGTGTTTTTTATAAACAAATGTGCATTTTAGCTACTGACTTGGAAGTCTAGCTGTCAAAAGGCCAAATAATAGATGGAAAAATCAGATATGGAGCAGGAAGGAGATAGAGTATAGGGGAGGAACATTAATACAAAACAACCCCAAAAGTCCTGATGGGTAAGAAGTTAGTTATACAGTCCAATAAATACCCTGCCTCTACAGAATGGTTAGTTTGACATTTACTTCAATGGATCGTCAATCAAATGGAACCGTATTTCCTTATCTGAATATATTTGGGTTCTGGATTGTGCTAAGTAACAAAAAATCACTTGTTTCTTATCTGAGCATCTTCATACTTTTACTAGAGTGACCTTACTACAGTCAACTCATCTGTTCTGAGGACTAATCTGTTGGTGACTCAGAAAAGATGTGGACTACAAAAAGGGGCAATTGACCTACAGCTATAGTTCAAAAACAAATAGTCTTTACATAAATGCAGAAAATGGCAGCTAAAGTAGCAGTGTGAAGGCTTTGACTGGAGTAGCATTAATTAAGCATTTTAGTTTAAAAGGTTTTCGTTGTTGTTGTTTATCTTGTGACCTGGAATGAACAAGCATCTTTTTGATATAACTGAATACTTAACCAGAGATTCTACTTAACACCAATATATGTGGAAGAGACCACTTTCTATAATTGAGCTGTACGAATACAAAATGTGTAGGGTTAATTAAGACTAATGTGCATCAGTGGGAAAAAAATGAAGAGCATTCATTAATTAGTCCTCTTTATGGTTACTTGTTAACTGTCAGAAAGCTAAGGGCCTCTCATGCAAGCCAGAATGAGTCATTCAAACTGATTTTCTGAAAAGCAACTACAGTGCTTTACTTCGATTTTCCCATTAATATTATTGTTGCTGGTGCTGTAGTTTTTGAAACAGCATCTCACATAGCCCAGACTGACTTCGAACTCCTGATTCTCCTGCCTTCCCTTCACTTGTATGCATCATCATTGCATGTGGCTAAGTAGGTAATATTTTAAGGCAGGCAGTAGTGTCTATGGGGCAGTAATGCTAATGACGATGAAAACAAAATTATAATCCTAATTAATTTGCTGAGAGTTATTCCCCATTTGCCATTATTAGGTTGTTTTATCTTGAATGGGTGCCCAGACACTGGAAAAAGTGTGTGTGTGTGTGTGTGTGTGAGAGAGAGAGAGAGAGAGAGAGAGAGAGAGAGAGAGAGAGAGAGAGAGAGAGAGAACTGGCTAGGCTGTGATTTCTTAGAGGTTAATAAATGTTGGGTTAGCAGCAATATACTTAATAAATCTGTAATTTACCCAGAATTTCAATTTATTTAATGGTGTTTAAAAATCCTGAATTGATATTTTTTCTTTGATCTCAAAAGATCCTACCTATCCCAAAAGCAATATTCTGACTTTGATGGTGTGGGCTTCAGGGAGTGTGCTAAGAGACCGAGAGAGCAGAAAGAAAAGCAGTCTAAGCGTAGCCTCAGTAAGGGTCAGCCCTCAGTGATAACTCACTTAGAAGCTTCCTTCCCATGAGAATTGGATGATTTGATCATTCTTACTTCACATATTACCCAAAACACTTAATGTGGGTGGGCTGGATTTTTATTTAACATGATTGTCTCAGGGGGGCATATAAAATTTAGACAGTATTTCCCTTCTGGGGCTAGGAGCTAAGAGCTTTGTTTATTTGTGTATCTCTACCACTTAGTGGGTTTGTTGTTCTGTGCATGCTAAAAGACATTAAGTGCTTGGGGAATAGGTTAATGATGGATGAGACGACCCCATTACTCTAGATAGAATTAATACTCTAACAGGTAGAATTCACTTTTATGTTAAGTGGAATATTATGTACAAACTTTCCTGTAAACTTGGGTCTTTGGGGCCATTCTGCTTGACTTTTATCTACCCCAGTGGCTATTGCTTGTACTTTTGTTTTCAGAGTATCGCAGCCTGAAAACATTTTTGCCAAGATTACTCTGATCATATTGAGAATGTTTAGATTGTGGTGGATTAGTAACACATCCCCAGCTTTTTCTGAATGTGCATTGGCAAGTACTATGCTAGGAATGTGGTGAAGAAACAATAGCTTTGTCCTTACTTCATATGTTTAAAATTGGGGATTCTGACTACAGAATATTGAACTGGAAGTCACCATCAAAGTTTTCAATATCAGCCTCCTTGTTATAAGAATCAGAACTCATACTGAGCTAAGGACTCAGAGCTCCCAAAAAGTGACCTAGCTATCCTGTGAGGTGGGTGCTTTTGTTAGCCACGGTTTGCATGAAAGGCAATTTAATTCTAAAGTGTTAGGTATATTTTTCAGGATCTCCCAGCTAGAAAGTAGTAGAGTCAAAATCCAAACCCAGCTTTGTCAGACTCCAAAGCCCGTCCAAAAGTACGGAAAGATTTGTCCACTTTTGATGGCGCTCTTCTGGCTCTAATTTGTGTGCACAGTTTGCAATGCCATGGGGCTTCTTCAGCAACACAATAGACTTTCTTTTAAACATCGCTTTCTTTTATAGAAGTGCTATCTTTAGGGAGGAGTTGCCTTATTTCTTGTTGCCTCCTTTCTCAAGAGCTCGTTCAAGCTCTGCCTTCAGTGACCATGGCCTGTGATCAACTCCTCAGCTACTCTTGAAGCTGCATGGAACACTTTCCTACTCCTACTTGTGGCTACAAGGTTGGGAGAAGTCAGAAAAGAAAATTATAGGGCAGAAGTCCCCTCACGTCCCGCTTTCTGTTTTGTTCTCTGCAACACAGATTGAAGATGGAGGCAAAGCAGCCTTGTCCCAGAAGATGCGGACTGGTGATGAGCTGGTGAATATCAATGGCACTCCATTGTATGGCTCCCGCCAAGAGGCCCTCATCCTTATCAAAGGCTCCTTCAGGATCCTCAAGCTGATTGTCAGGAGGTAAGGTACAGGTGCCGAGGCCATTGAAAAGTGCTTGATAGATAATAAAGCCTCCATAAAATGCCATCTGTATCATTATCATCAACAAGAGAGGTAGTTCATGGGGACAGAATTGTGCCGACAACTAAAGCAGAATGGTCAAAGGGCTGTTGGTTCGTATTTTGACACTGTCATATACTCAGTATACCTACCCCTTCAGATAAATGCTTCTTCAGAACTCAATTTACTCGCTATTCTGAGGACTCAATGACTAAAAACATATAAAGGTCTATGTAACCTAAGGTTTTTTTCTGTCTCCTCTGTCATAACAGTTATTGTTCAATCATCACATATCAACAGAGATGTAAAAGAATCCGACTGCCAGCCATGGTAGGCTCTTTGGAGGCTATAGCAAGCTCCAAGTCAGAAATGTTACCCTTGTATGGTTTCACACATGAAAAAAAGCATGTATGTGTCAATAAAAATTAATAATATAAAGACGCAATGAAAGGTTTCACAGAGTTCCTTGTGCTCGTTAAATAGATTGCTTAGACAGAAATTGATAATTAAAGAGAAAAAGGATTCAATAGACTTACATTCAAAAGAGGAGGGAAAATTTGAGCTAAAGAGTAGATAGAATTAGAAAAATAAACCATCAGAAATAGATACATTTTGGCTAAATGGAATTACACAGGCAAAAGGAAGGGCAGGGACATTATTGGGTGTAGTCATGTCAATGTTACCCTTTTTAAATTTTTTCTTTGTTTTTTGAGATTATAATGTAATTTCATCACTTTTGTCTTCTTTCTCCTCCCTCTAAACCTTCTCCCCTTGTTTGCTTTCAAATTCATGGTCTCTTTTTCTTTAATTGTTGTCATTGAGAGCAGGAGAAACAGCCTTCCCCAGGAATAACACTAATCAGTTATCTAATATCAAACGGTCAGTCCCAAAAAGATAGACATGCAAATAACACTATATGGACTTGAAAGGTTGTGTTTATGTATTTATGAAGACAGACAGACACACACACACACACACACACACACACACACACACACACACACACACACACACACACAATTTTTTATTGTGGTCCTGGGGATGGATAGCAGGGCCTCCTGATGCTAGCTAGGCAAGTGTGCTCACCATCTGAGCTCTGTTTACTTTTGTGTCTTCTTCCTTTTTGCCCATGTTTTAACCAGTCTCCTTTATTACTTGATTATCACTTTGACCATGCCTTAAACATTTCGTTTTCAGAAGTTCTACCTTTTCTGATATCATCATAATACAGAAATTATAATATGAACAATATCACTGGCTCTTCCTGTTTCAATTTATATCTATATATGGATGATTCTGACTCTTCTGTCCCAAACCATATAGCCTGTTTCCTCTTGGACATTTATATTTAGATGTGCCTATAGCGTTTCAAGTACAGTAGGTTGCTCCATGCCTGACACATTTATTCTTCACCAAAGCTTCCTATCTTGATGACACTCCAGCAACCAAGCCAGAAGGAGAGCTATCATAAATTCTTCTATTAATCTCATGTAACATTCAAACAATTTATCCAAACAATCTTTCCCTAAAACGTAACAGTTTGGAATTACATGGGGCAGATTATATAGAATTCCATTGGTTTATTGCATGATCTTCTGGTACCTAGTATTAAGCCATGCCTTTCCAGATATAGGCATCATGGTAAGTAGTGCCTTGTACTATATAACAGCTATATTGTCACTGATTTCATTTTATATGTAGGGTTGTTTTTCATATGTTAGGGATGGACTCCAAGGCCTTGGGTATGCTAGTCAAGTACTCTGCCATTGATCTATATCTTTACCACTTTGAATTGTTATGATTTATATTCTAAGTAAGACTTCATGGAGGGTTCACTTGGTAAAAGTTTTTGTTTAGTTTCATGAATGCTACTCCTTGGCTCTATCGCATAGAAATGGTAATTGCTTGAATAGTGTTATTATTATGAGGATCAAATAATTTAATTTACATAAAATTCCTCTTTACAAGTACTAGCCAAACTTGATTGAGCTTGGCTTCCAAGGTTAAGGTGGTTTGGTCATAGATGCATAATGGTGTATTGGGGAATTTCAGTCCATTCCCTTCTCTGAGGTATAAACGAAGCCTAACTGGAGTAGACGAACACTGTCAGAAGGGAAATGCATTAGAACTGTAATGTGCATTGTACCCTAGTCTGGGGAGTATGATTTGCTGGGAAACCAATTGGGGGTGGCAAATATTTAAACAGAAAACATGGCTCTTGGTGAAATTCTGATTGTAGAAAGACAGAGGCACTTTAGAGTGTGAATACTGACAGACAAGTTTCTGAGTTTAGTTCCACAAAGGGATGTGAAGATGCTGTGGTTTTAACCACTCACCCTCTCTTCTTTCTCTACTATAGCAATACTGCCATTACAAAACATCACTTAGGAGTGGCTCTAACTACATTCTTGGAGATAGCAGGGACCTTTGGTTTTTATGGGGTAAAAGGATCTATGGCTCCCAGGACCTACATTTTCTACCTTTTCAGCACCCCCACTTCAGCCCTTATTACTTGAGGCATTCCATGCATAATTATGAGATGATGCTGCCCTCTTGTGGAAAGCTTAACCTTCCCTATGGACTACTGGGGAAGTTAGTTCCTTCATGCTTAGTCCCAATTTTCCCTCCATCTTATGAAAACGGTCTCTGTTCTTCATAAATTAACACATAAAAGAAGTGTGATATGCTTATAGTTTATAAGTGTTCATCCTATTTTCTTAGACACAAGTGAAAGGACCTTGGTTTACATAAATCACTGACAAAGTTCCAATACTGGACTTTAGGTCTTGAGTTAAGTCCTTTGAAGATGGACATACAAAGAGACCTTCGAAAATGGCTTATTCTGAAAACCCAATCCAGCTTCTCTCTCTCTCTCTCTCTCTCTCTCTCTCTCTCTCTCTCTCTCTCTCTCTCTCTCTCTCTCTCCCTCTCTCTCTCTCTCTTCTCTCTCTCTCTCTCTCTCTCTCTCTCTCTCTCTCTCTCTCTCTCTCTCTCTCTGTGTGTGTGTCTGTGTGTCTGTCTGTGTCTGTGCGTGCACACACACGCACACGTGTGTGCAGGTGCTCACTTCCAGGGATCAAACCCAGATCCTTGTACATTCTAGGGAAGCACTTTACCTCTGAAGCAAATCCCCAGCGCGATATTGATTGCCCTTTAAATGATGGTAACTAAGTCAGAAATCAGGGTGTCATTGTCAAGCCACCTCTTGCCTCGCCCTCTAGTCCAAGTAATTTCAAGCCTTGACATGTCTAACCTGCCCTAAATCTCTGTTAGTTTGTCTCAATTCAATCACTCTTGATTTCTCACCTGTACTATTCTGAGAGCCTTCCCACTGGCTTCTCAGCATTCAGCTTTATCTCTTTCCAATCAATCCATGCTTCAAAAAAAAGCATCTGAGCAGGTCACTTTTCTACTTGAAAAAAAAATTAAAAATAAGAGCCATAGAACCAGGCTGTTTTCAAAAGGTTTAAATGGATAGAATGTTTAACCATATTAAAGACATATTCATAAGCAAATTCGAATATTTTGTTAATTATTGAAGAGTTTCGTGCATTGTAATTTGATTATATTCATCCTCTTCCCCATTTATTCCCAGCCTCCATTCCATACCCACCCAACATTGTACCTTCATGGATTTAAACAAAAAATCAATCCAGATGGTCCTGCCTATATTTTTGTGAGTGTGCGGTCGTCCACTGGACCATTTTTGATCTACCAGGGGACATACCCTTCATGAAAACTAACTTTCCCTTCCCTGCAAGCTGTCATTTACGACTAGCTCCTTAGCGAGGGCTAGAACTTTATGACTAAGTACCAGTTTTAACTAAAATAACAATATCTAAATATACAAAAAAAAACTTTTAGCAGTAGAAAAAAAATTGATGAAAATATCTGCGTTGAAGACTTTGACATAACTTAAGCATGAAAACAAAGAACACCGAAATGTAAGTACTTGGAAAATTTGAAAACCTAAGTTATTCATTATAATTAATAAAATTTTAAAATATGTTATAGGTAGTAATTCATTATTTTCAAATATTCATGGAAAATTTAAAAATGATTGCAAGTTATACTGCAGAAAATATATGCAAATTCTTAGTAGCAGAAGTGACATTGGCTTTATTTCTGACGATAATGTACAAATTTCCCAAATTTAAACAAAAATCTTTAGCAACTTTAATATAGCAGAACACATTTATATGCAAATATCAAACCAAAGAAAAAGTAGCAAAGTAATAAAAATAATAAAGTTGAGAGCATGACTTGTCAAAACTTTGAAATTAATATTCTGAAGTAAATTTATAACATTTTATTAAAAATGAAGAATGCAATTACATATCTAAGAATCCAATATAATATTGATGCCAAGAGCTTGATTTGGAGGACGGGTAAGATGGATTAAATAGATAAGCCTCTAGCAAATTTAATCAAGTAAACAAAAATGAATTATAAATAAAATTTAAATGGCGAATGACAACATCATAGAAGTAGTTTTTTGAATTAACTACAGATTACTGTAATTATACTTTAGGAAATCTCGAAATCACAGGGAAATTTAACATATCTACTTTAGTTTTAAATGACAAAATTATTGAAAAGCTCTTTAATAAAATGATCTGAAACGCTAAAGACAATAATAATCAAATGGGAATTCCCAGAAATATTTTAGGTTCATATAGTTTCAATCAGTGAGTGCCTTCGAAGTTTTTGAAATAACCCAGATTCTATTATAATGCTATAGACCTGAAAATGTTGCAGATTTATTCAGGTTGTTTTTGAAGCCAGAATCAGGATACTCTAATTATTGAGTTTAGAGGCAAAGTTCCTAAATGCAAGCCTATCAAATATAATTTAGAAATATAGGATGATAACAATTTATTTTAAATGCTAAAAGATTTTGAAAAAAGGTAAAATCTTAAGTCTAATACAGACTTAGAAATTAACATATGTTGAACTTTATT